CATTCACTGATGAGCAGAAATATGCAAAGGTCTTTCAGATCATTGATGCAAGATGGAGTGAGCAACTTCATAGACCTTTGTATGCAGCTGGACTTATTCTGAACCCGTTACTCTTTTATGATAAGCATGAGAATAATTCATTGGCTAGAGAAGTATGGACAGGATTCCATGAGGTTGTTATCAAGTTGACCCCAGATGAAGACTTGCAAGAAAAGATAGTAGATCAGCTTGCTATTTACAAGGCAGCTGAGGGACTTTTTAAGCTCCGACTTGCTATTAAATAAAGAAAGATGAAGTCGCCAGGTGACCAAGTGCTTCTATATTTTATAGCTCTAACTTTAATGTATTTTTTATACTTATTAACTCTTGAATATTTTTTTTCACTTCTATAGTTGAGTGGTGGGACCAATATGGTGTAGAGACTCCGGATTTACAGACTTTCGCCATCAGAGTTCTAAGTTTAACTTGTAGCTCATCCGGATGTGAAAGGAACTGGAGCGTTTTTGAACACGTAAGAAATAAAAAGAATTATTTCGTATTTTGAGATAAAGTAAATTATATCTCAATTGTCCCAACTCCTACTAATTAGTTGACACATCTTGTTTGCATATTCATACAAAGAAGAGGAATTGACTAACCTTGAAGCGCCTCCATAATCTAGTGTTCATAAAATAGAGCATTTAGGTGTCGCTACAACCACCACAATCTAATTGATCCAATTATTTTGGACAATATTGATGAGGCTAATGAGTGGCTAACCGGAGTCCCCGAAAATTGTGAAGATGAAGAAGTATTTGAAGGCAACTCTAATTTCACTTGGGGTGATGTTGCGGTTGCTAGTGGAGTTGGGAAGAATCCTTATGGTTTAAGGGGGAATACTTCAAGTTCAAGCTCGATTAGGAAGGGAAAAAGTGTGGCTACTACAAGTCGATCCCTATCCCTAATTGATGAAGATGAAAGTGATCATGAAGAAGAAGAGGAGGAGGAGGAGGAAGATGACGAGCAATATGAAAATAATAGAGGAATTCAAGATTTTGACAATCTTGAAGAAGAACAAGAAGAGTAGAAGAATAAGAGGTTGATTCTAGTAATTTAGTAGCTTTGATTTTTGCTTGTCCTATGGTTTGTGGAGGATTTGGTGGTACCTAGTACCTACTTTTAAGTTTTTAAATTGAACTTTTTGATTATTTATAATTTTATATTGTGTCTTTGCAAGGTTTACATTATGTTTTTTAAGAATTGCGCTTCACTTTAATAAAGCGTGCACTTCGCTTTTGAATCGAGGCGAGCCCTTATTGCTTTTTTGCACTTCTCGCTCTTAAAAACACTGGTTTGCATGACATAATTGGATATTTTTTACCACAAGGTGAGCAATTAGATCTTCATAAAGTGACTTTTTTTGGTCAAGATAAAGTAAAATATTCTTATTATTAATTATTTTTTTATTTCTTATTTGGAATTGAGGAGTAGTTCTTATTGTTGTAATCTTTAAGGATAGATAAAAATATATCGATATTTAATCCTTGAATGAATAATTTTAAAAATTAATGGAATGTTTCTTCCAGTTTCCTGCTGAGAAGCTAGAGGGTCTATAATAGCTTGACGAAAAAATAAAGTTTTGAACTTTACAAGGTTTATCAACGATGCATATGTACCATGCTTATTAAGATCATGTTAACAATAGCAAGTAACATAAAAATATTCTTCCCTTCAAATACACATTCATATTTTGGTGTATGTGAAGAAATTACCAACCTCTTGAGTGGATCTCTTTGATAGAAAAAAGTACTTCTGCATAAGTCATGTATGTGTATATTATAATTGCTTGATCTAGGACTATAATAAATATCCTTTGCTCATAAAGTCTTAATATGCACCATGCTAGAAGATGTCTTCTTAGTGATCTATATCGCCCCAGCAAATTAAAGTATTTATAAACTTGGAGAACCTATCATAGATTTCATGAGCCATGAGCCTACCTCAGATGAAGAGGTCCTTTTCTAGCAAAGAACTAAAACTATAGAGTTAGTATCGGTATAGTAAAAGTGCTTTTTTTTTTTATCCATGGAATGATAACTAATAAGGCGTCATTGACTAACCACTTTAGGTTTCTTCTTCATTAATTTTTATATGGGCTTAGATACCAAGTCACTAAATTTATAAGCAGCAACCTTGTTGCTACTCTGCTTCAACACTTTCTTAATATCAACAAGTAAGCATGCCAAAGCAATATTATCCTCTGTTTCCATTTGAATGAGAAGCTCACCATATTGCCACCAGTATTTATTATAATAATATATATGCATAGATCTTTTACAAATTAGTTCTTGAAGCTTCCAGAATAAGGCTCCCGCACCATTAGATGTCCTATGCCAAATTTTGCAGCATGACTTATGGTGGTTGATTTGTAGTTCTTAGCTATCTATTTGGTTATTTTTGCCGTTATTGTTTGTTCATTTATGTGAAGTAACTACTAAACTAAGTACCATATTCTTTTTGGAACATGTATCTCTTGAAATGTATGCTCCTCAAGTCCATCATTTTGTACCGTAAATTTCTAAAAAAGTTATACTGTTCTATTTGAAAGTCAGCAAAAGACAAATATGTAATACTAGAATGAATTGCGCGGGTGGTTAGACGTTTGATTGAAAGAGTTTAAATATTTAATGAAGTTAACATAGAAGGCTTGACGATATTCAATATACTCGAGCATAGAAATTAAATTTTTTTGCAGAGCTTAATTACTTCCCTCGATTTATAGCAAGGCACAAGTTTTCAGTTCAAAAGAATACATGTCTCAAAAGATATTAAAGCTCCACTCTTTTCTCAAGTTTTTGCTACAGTTCAGTTTTGGTCTAATTGCAGTTTTGCTGCATTTTTTTTTCTTTTGCAGTTTTGTGTTCAGTATTTGCTGCAGTTTTGGTCTAGCTATGAAGTAATTTAACTGCAATATTTGTCCAATTTTGATGATGTTTTTTATGGAATGGGTCTTGAAGATATGAATTAAGGTTTTTTAAAAGGTAGAAGAAGACCGTTGATCAAGGGAGAGCTTTTTTCATGTTGGATAGCCACGTCATTAATTATGTTATAGTTAAATATGTGTGGCATCTGATGTGGAGGGTCGTTAGTAGTAAAGGTATATGTGGCCAAAAATTAGACGGCATGGGTATAATTGCTACTAAAATTTAACGGAGGATAAAAGTGACATATTTTGAATAGTTCAAGGGTAAAAGTCACATGATTGGAGTGCAGTTTCATTTTAGGAACATCAACGTTGGCGGTATTATCCATTGATGCCCTAAAATAGAGTTCCAAGTAGCTCGATATGAAATCAACGTATGCTATCTTCTTTCATTCATTCTCATTGCACTTCACCTAACAGTTTTTTTTAAATATAGTTTTGCTTGGAATTTGCTTTTAAATTTGTATTTCATTCCGATGTTTTGCGTGAAAGTACAAGTAGTGGATTGATATACCGTCTTTGCATATTTGGTAGGGATTAATTCACCTGTCCACTTGTAGTTCTTGATAGTTTGGTTTGCTATACTTTTAGTTCAGTAAATGAAATGCAAAAGGATTATATGATTCATGTATATTTATAAATGGGATGAGTACATGCATTCACATATGTGCTATCTTTTAACATATATGAAGTATGTATTATGAACATGCTTCTGTGATGACTACTTTCGACTTCTTCTATTTTTCTTTGTTTGCTGATTATAACTACCGAGCAAAACTCAGAGCAAAATTTACTTACCATAGTTGCCAAAGAGTTAAAGTTCCTCCTCCTTCACTTCGAATGGTAACAAATATGAACTATTCATCTTGGTACCTCTTTTTGTTTAATCCCTCAGCATACCGTTCTCTATAAATTTATGTAATATATTATTATGATGGTAAGGCTTAAATCACTTCAAGCACTTCCATGAAATAGCCGATTTTGGATTGCGTATGTGTTTTAGTTTATTTATTTCATTGTCTTTATGTTGTGGTTATGCACATGCTTCAATTGGTTCTAACATGCCTGCAGAAAGAGGTACTTTGTACTTTATGTTGTCTTCATTTTTCTTTTTGTGCAAGCTATTTATTTAATTGTTTCTCCTGATTTAAGCAAATTAGTTTGATTCCAATGACAACCTTGATGTGTTATGTTCAATGATATGTTTTGTTATAATTATAAATGTGTGTGTTCAGTATCTTGGATGTCATCGAAATTTCATTTATTCAGAGACTATATTATATCTCTAAGATACCCTTTCATTGACGGATGATTGGTGCATTTCTTCTTTGAATTAAACGACTGATAAAGAAGTTACTTACTTTTACATGAGACTTCTGATATTTTTATCATACTACAAATTCATAGATTTCCTTAAGTTGTGACATTCTTACCCTGCCCAACCAGTTGAAGCAAGTAAAGACACTTACTAAGACCAAGTAAGAATCAAAGCTTATAATATGGACAAAGATGTATGAATGAATTGAATCGCCTATTTATCTTGACTTATCAATGGTAACTCAGTCATGCAGTTAGAGTAGCTACTTACTAGCAGAAGATGTTTCAAAAACTAAGTCATGAATAAGTAGTGTCTTTGGTCTATTATTTTGTATAGTTTATCTTTGCGAATTTAATATCATTGAGGGAGTGAGATTTATTGTTTCTGAATGCGCAGATTCTGAATATGTATGTTACGAGTAGTAGGCGCGCAGTCTTTAACATTTGTCACTATTTAATAAGAATGGATTGTGCTTTTGTGTTAGTAAAATTATGATTGTTCAAACTTCTAAACCTATTTAGGGTTTAATCACATTTGCAACTAAATATTAGACACAAATTTTGAAATGTTAGCACGGACAAACTTCATCTAGTAGATATAGATGAGGCCTAAATTCCCAACCGTCAAGGTAGGGTATAACCCCGATGCACATTGTACAACATTCAAGCAATTGTACATGCCATATATATATATATATATATATATATATATATATATAGAGAGAGAGAGAGAGAGTGTTCATTCTCCCCAACTTCAATTCAAATCACCCCAATGTACATATAGCAAACAGATATTAGTACTCATTCTTGACAACTTATTTCGATCCGAGGAGCGAAAAGGAATCGGCAATCAGATTCAGAGGTGAATGGCGATGGCGAGGGGAAGCGCTGGCCTCGCTTACCCGGAACGATTTCATGCTGCTGCTGCGTATGCAGGTTTTGATGGATCTCCCTCCGACTCTTCTAGCTCTAAGTTCTCCAACGACATCGCTTTGCTCCTCTTTGGCCTTTACCAGCAGGTCCCTTTTTCCTTCTTTCCTTCTTGCCGCTTTTTTTAATTTATTAAATTGTTAATTTTGTTGGTTAAATGGCTTGATCTGATTCTTCCTTATGTTGAGTTACGGCAGAGGATGGATAGTTAATAGGAGTACTTAATCTAAAAGGCGCCTTTGGCATATTATTCCAGTTGAAATTCTCGTAGATCTGGACTTTCATTTCCCTGTATTGTTATGATAGGAAATATTTTGTTTGATGAAATCATTTGCTATTTCTTATTATATGTAAATTCGCAGCTTTCAGAAGAGAACCACTGGTGAATGTATTCCGGTCCAACGAAATAGTTTACATAATTCTTAGAGTACTGTTTATGCACTCCCGTACATATGCACGTGATCAACAAGGAGTAAACCAAGCTGAAGTTTAAATCTAAACAGACCTATCTTGGCAATGTCTTCATATCTATGTAAGATTATAAATACAATTAAAATACAAACCAATTTTCTGTTATAACTAACCGAATATGCTAATACGTCCCCCTCCAGTTGGAGCAAATGCATTATATATGCCCAGCACTACTTTTTGACTTAACGCCTTTTGTGACTATGTCAGCCTTTTGTTCTCTAGTACGGGCATAAACATAGCTTGTGTGACTTACTCCTATATGAATCAACCTAACAAAAAGGAATATCAACTGTTATGCTTGAGGCAAATATGGGCTTGATTCTTCAAAATGGAAGGCAAATAAGGTTCTGGGAAGATGCATGGATGGGCGACACTCCTCTTAAAGATCAATTCTCTGATATCTACAGTATTCTTTGCCTCACAATAGGGTAATTGCTGAATTTTATTCAACGCAAGGTTGGAATCTCTTTCCTTGAAGGAACTTAAATGTTTGAGAAGTGGAAAGTTAATGTCTTTTGCTTCAGCTACACCATAGTGTTGGACCACAATAAAATAGATTCTGTCAATGTGAGGGACATTCCAAAGATCTCTTTACAGTCAAAAGTTGATTTGCTGGAATTAAGCAACAACGGGGATTATTGGCCTTGGAAATTTTTTTGGTTTAGCAAGGCTCCTTTGAAAGTCTCTTGCTTCTCTTGGATCGTGGCTAGAGAAGCTTGTCGGACTTATTGGCCACCTCTTCTTGCATTGTAGAGTTACTACTCAGATGTGGAACATGTTTTTGGCAATACTTGGCATGTCTTGGACCATGCCAAAATTCATTTTTGAGCTACTGCAATGCTGGAAAAAAAGGGATTGCGCAAGAAATCACAAAAGACCTGGAATACCATTCCTCAAGCCAGTTGGTGGACTATTTGGCTTGAAAGAAATAGCAGAATTTTTGAAGGCAACAGGAGAAACATAGATAGCCTTGAACAATGGTGTATTTGCTTGCTAGCATTTTGGTGCAACCTGCTTATTGTACATGATGAAGTTGGATTTCCAGATACAAGAGGAACTGCACTTTTCTGTAATTATGTCTTCTGGCACTGGCTTAGAGCAAGTATGATATAACTGCTCCTTTACGGACTTACTTTAGAAGTAAATCAAGAAAAACATGTGGAAGTAATTTGTCAATTGACAAATATAGCTTATGTCAGTTTCTTGGTTTCAAACAAGATAAAGTTTAAGGACAACAGTTATTTCAGTAGTTATTGCAGCAGTTATTACAAGAGTAATTGTTTATCTATGTCTTAGGAGTTTGTCTTTATCTATTAGTTTAAATATCTGTTTCTCTCTGTAAGAATTCTAGTAGGATAAATTATCATTATCTTTGTATCTGGAGGTTTGTCCACTCCATACTGACATAATTATTGGTTAATGCAGTGTTCAAGATTCTTGCACGTTACTTAACCAGTAAAATTTCTTTCCTTTATCTCTTCTTCATCATAGATCCTATCAAAGTATTTATAAAATCTTTGATTACTTATCCAAAAAAAAAAAATCATCTTCGAAACACTAGTGTATAGCTTCTTTAGGTAAAGCCCATTCTCAAACCCACAACTTCAGTTATGAACGTTTCTCTTCAGCACACAAGGCATTCTTGTGTACCATTTTCAGTTGTGCCTAGGAATTACTTTGAAGCTATGAAAGATGAAAGGTAGATGCAAGCTATACAAACAAAAAATTTAGAGACAAATCGCACATGGAGCTATTGCCATTACCAAAAGTTAAGAAGGCAATAGGTTGTCCATGGGTCTATAAGATCAAATTTCGTGCAAACGGATCCATAGAGTAGTTTAAGACAAGTTGTTTAGGACGTAATTAAGTGAATAAAAATGTGCTTCTTCTAACAATTTAAGCTTTTAGAGGAGATGGTTACTCAATTCAACATGGTATCAAAGCTAGACTCGTGTATTCTTGGTCTACTCAATATTGGACCCCCATGATATGTTGTCCACACTCCAGATGTCCCGGCCTGATATGCTGGGGGAGGGTAGAGGGGATGTTAAGTGCCCCACATTAATATAGAGAATGAGTTGTTGTCTCCTTGTACGGTGTTGGGCAGTACTCACCTCATGAACTAACTTTTGAGGTTGAATTAGGCCCAAGGTAGTATCTTGATGAGCTATATGCTTAACACATGCAAGTTGAATTAATAAGAAACAACTTGAAATTCCATCATTTGTCGAACCAAATGCACTATGATTTGTTTTCCTTTTTTTTGGAGAGGGGGTGTGGGGGAGGTGGTGTTAGAGGGTTGATGGCATATGTTGTAATTTGTTTATCATTTTTAAGAAACAGAAGTTTTTAGTTCCTGTTTATAATTTAAGTTTCTTTCATTAGCCAAAAAAAGGTAAGTTTTAGCGTGGTTCAATCTCTTCAGTTGTGCTATTGAGTGTAAGGCTTAAGACTACTAAGTCTTAGAAAATGGAGGATAGAGAATAGACTATGATTTTTCTTATAGTCAAATCTTTTTACAGAGTTTCATGGTGAGGGAGGAGACAAATTTTCCACATTTATCGATTTAATTGCTAAGGGTGCCCAAGAAAGTATATTTTTTTGCATGGTTGGCAGCGAGGTGAGCGATTCTGACGGATGACAATCCGAGCAAGAGAAATATTACTTATTTTAGTTGGTGCTATATGTGCAAATGTTCGGGTGAAGAAGTTGATCATCTTTTGGTCATTGTAATTTGTAGGGTGGCGTCAGGTCGGTGGAGGGTGATCTTGAATTGGTGGTTTGCTATAAGTGGCTGATGCAAGCACTGTCAAAAGATGTGTTGCATAGCTGGACGGGTTGACGAAGGAGAAGAAGACAAAGGGCTTGAGAGGTTACTTTACTAGCTCTTATGTGGGTCATATGGAATGAGAGAAATAGGAGAGTGTTTGAGGAGATTGAATATGATTTTGTACATTTAAGGAGTAGCCTTTTGTCTTTGATTGTTTTTTGTAATTTCTCTACTTTTTGGTATACCTCTCGTATACGGGAGTTTTTCTCTCCCAACGTTAATAAAATTATTTACCTTATCAAAAGAAAAATGATTTTTTTCTCTTGTTTATGCAGTCTATAAGTGTTTGCTGAATTCCAAAGGATCTGGCAGGATTGATATTCTTGTTGTGTCTAATTGGTGCAGGCAATTGTAGGACCTTGTAAGATTCCTAAGCCTAGAAGTTGGAGTCCAGTAGAACAAAGCAAATGGACCAGGTTTCTTTTAATGAGCTCTGTCATTTGGATATTATCTAATCTTGATTTGCATCATCTACTTTATTTGAGGAGGTTATTCTTTTACCTTTTTCATTACATGATAAACATATTTGTGCTAAATTTCTTATGTCTGTATATAATTAGTTTAAACGTACATTTCATTGCCTAACTGAAGTTGATGTTGCTTAAAAACAAGATATCACCTAAAATAACATTGAATTTTATTTATTTCTACTCTGGTTAGTTGAAAATAAAATTGTCTATTAGTAACTGATAATGTCTATCTAGTAGTTTGCAGTAGTCTTTATCTTTAAGTTAGAATAGTCTCTTAATTGTTCTAAGAATACTAACTGCGTAGAGATACTTATTAAAAATTTAAAAGGAAACCGTTTAGAGCTACTTATTTATGAATAGGAGTGTTGTGTATTATGTTGAGAAACTAGATACTAGTTTTTTTCCTCTTATAAGTTTCTCAAAAGAACACACAAGAGTCCTATTCATAAATACGTAGTTTTAGACGTTTTTCCATAAGTAGTTAATTAATTCATTTGGTATTACAGGCCCCTTCGTCCTCCTCCATTCTTCTTCTTTCCCCCTCTCGGCCTCTCCTCTCTTCCATTCTCTATTTCTCCTCTTTCTTTCTCTCCCTCTCTTCCTTGCTTTTCTTTATCTCATTGGCTCTTTCTCTTTGTTCTCTCTCAAATCTTCTTTCTTTCTTACTTTGTTTCTTCCCATTCTCATTTCCCCCCTTTCTTTTCCCTTCTCTCATTTGTGCTGCGACATCAGAAGCTCTCCAGCAGCAGAGCTTTAAGTAGAGTCACTGCTACAGGCTAACAATTTCATTAGTTTATAATCGAAGGAGTGTTATAACAGTTAACATCAGCCAGGGATGGGAAGATCACTACAAGTCAGCTGTTTAAGGCAAGTAGTGGTGCCATAGGCGAGAAGAACCTTGGTCATTGTAATAGGAAAATGTTTGCAGTCTCATTCGCATTGAACAATTGTGGAGTCATAACTAATGGCATATTGTGTCAATTGGCTTCTCAAACAGAAAAGAACTGATGATAAGTAATATAATTGAAATTAATTTATTGAGCTGTTTGGTGTTGAACAGGTTGCCTACAGTGTTATCAAAGGCGTGCTTAAGCCCTAAAGTGAGGCTCAAAACATATTGAGTGCTTCGTCTCGCTTGACGGGCACTTCAGTGTTGTCATCAAGGCTCTAAGGCATACTTTTCCTTGTCAATAAGTGTAATCCTGAAGAGGCGACACTACACAATTGATATTTCACTTTATCGTAAATTCTCTTCAATTTCTTTGTCAATGTATTCGGCATTCATGCTTATATATATATTAGTCTTGGACTACACATACATATTTGTTGTTTTTCTCTATTTGCACCTTTTTTCATTAAAGCCCACGCTTTATTTGCACTTTGCGCTTAAATTCCCAACAAACCTTAGAGATTTTTTGCGCTTCTCGCCTTTGATAACACTGGTTGCCTATATGTCAAATTTAGAGACGAGATAACAAGCAGGGGAAAGATTGATTAATGGGATTATGAAATTGGAATATTAAATAATCAAGATTCATCATGATAGTCAGTCCTATCCCAAAAGGGAATTCATTATTAAACAGGTATCCCAGAGCCACCAATAAAAAGATAAGAAGAAGAAAAAGAAGAGAAGAAAAGAAAACAGGACATCCCAGTGCCACAGCCAAAAACAATTCCTACTCACAGCTGTAAATATTCCATATGCATTATTGCGGCCTGAATTTGTATTCTAAAAGGTGGTCCTATTTTTGTAGCTGGAATGGACTTGGTAACATGGCTTCCACTGAGGCAATGCGTCTCTTCGTCAAAATATTAGAGGTCTGTGCAGAGCTAACCCTACTTATCTTGATAATTTTGGCGGTATGAATGAAAAAGTTAAACAGCTTTTATTTATTATGGAACATGAATAGGAAGAAGATCCAGGTTGGTATTCCAGGGCCTCAAATTTTGTATCAGAGCCTGTAATTGACGGAGATATGAATGTGAGTTTCCCTTTCCTTTGTATGCTTCTTTAATTCTTTTCTTTTTCTTTTTCCCTAATCTGAGCTTTTATCTTTTCCTTTAACTCCCCATTATCTCCTTTCGTTCAGCATAATCCAAAAGCTGAGCCAATTATTGAAAATGGAAATGCTTTTCCTGAGACAAAAACTATTCCTACTGAAAATGGGAACTTGTCAGATGCTCGGGATAAAGATGTTGTATCAGAAAGTTTTGGTGCAGTTAGTGTATATGATCAATGGGTTTCACCTACAGTATCTAGTCCACGACCGAAAGCTCGATATGAGGTATTTGTTTTGCATCTCTTTTTTTTGTTGTTGCTTTTACTCATAGNATATATATATATATAAAATTGTTGCTGTCTTTTACAAATCATAAGATTTTTAACTCTGATGATTCTTTACCATGCTTGTCCTTGGAAGCTGGTTAACACTAATTACTACAGATTTTTTCATTCTTAGTCTCATTCTTTTCAACTTTTTCATGTTTTTGTCTCATTAGATTTTCTTTTTCCCAATCCTAAAGAGTAGGTATTCTTCCATTGTAGTTTTTCTCTTCCTTTGGTTGCTGGACATTCAACTTTTATGGATTGGGGGTCAATGCAGGCTTTGGACTTGAAGAGTTGGACATGGTCTAGAGTTGAAGTTAACACAGCTGGTGGTGAGGCTTCCCCTGCACCAGTAGCTCCTTTGGCTGGTCACTCCCTGGTTAGTATTGATATATGGTTTTTGTAGTTATTAAATTATTGTGGTATTTACACCAACTTCTGCCTGGTATTTACATGGGGATTCAACTCACATAAGCATTGAGGTTTCTCTTTGCTCATATTAGTTATCTACTGCTCTCTCTCTCTCTCTCTCTCTCTCTCTCTCTCTCTCTCTCTCTCTGTGTGTGTAGGTACCATGGGAAGGAACTAAGCTCATATCAATTGGTGGACATATGAGAAATCCTTCTGAAAATGTGCAAGGTTTGTTCTTGTCACTGAAATTTGATTCCAATTTTTTCTTTGTATAAGAGCAGCCTAGAGATGATACAAGTGTAGTTTCTCCAAGCCAGTACACCTGAAAATGGAAGTTTCTTTTCCCAGAAGAAAAGAAGAGATGAAATTACTCTTCTTGGCTTCATGATAATCATTAGGAGATTTGGGGTTTACTTTTGAGCCATTTGAAGATGTCCTTTTGGCTCAATAGAATGCGTTGACTAGCTTTGGGCCTATGACTACAATATTATCCAGTCGTGCATATTGCAAGGGACGGGGTAACATACATGCACGTATGAAGATCCACAAGATGCTCTGGTCTCATTTATGTTCCATGAATATCTGCAAAGCACTATTCCATGACCTAGAGAACTTCTGACCTTGTTTTATTGGGCTTTAGGCACAAAGAGAAAATAAAGCACGAGCTTTAACGAATAAAGACACAAACAACGAACAAAAAAATTCTTTCTTTCTCTCTCTCTATATATATGTAGGGTTTTGCTAACCTACTACATGAAGGTAGTAGGTTAGCATTATACCAACGTTTTCACCAAAATGCCCCTTGCTACTAATAGAGACTTTTAAGGGCTTTTCAGTCTTTTACTTAAATCCATTTCCTCCACTGTTTTGCTCTAGAGGCTCTCCCCCAAATTCTGATGTCGAGAAAAGTTTCTTAAAACCCTGTTACGGAATCCATGAAGATACTGTTAAGAACCTGTATTTCCATCTTTTGAAAACCATCAAAAGTAAAAGTTTTTCAATACAATAATCAAAATAGCAGAGGAAACCAAAGGCATTTTCGATGTCATATTCTAATCTTTTTGAATCTACGTGGTGCGACATCAAGATTTTATATTCTTTTCTGTTTGAAACAGTTTATGGAATAATTTATTACTTCAAAAACGAAAAATTGAATGTAACCAGAAGATGAACACTAAGTTTGTATTGGTCCAAGGTGTCATTGAGAAAAGATCCTAAAAAGAACTTTGAATTTTAGAAATTGAGAAGTATGCCTGGAGATGGAAGGCTGAGATTGAAAATGGAGAGAAGATTCCAAGAGAGAATGCAGAGTGCTTCAAGCACAAATTTTCTGCAGAAAACGAGAGCCAATGGAAGATGGGAAATTTGGGAATTCAGGTAAAAGATTGAAAAGTCCTTTAAGGTCTCTAGTTTTAATTAGGTGGTAAGGGGCATTTTCGTGAAATAAAAATGGGTACAATGCTAACCTGCTACCTTCATGTAGTAGGTTAGCAAAACCCATATATATTGAAAGAATTCAAGAATGATAACTACAAATTTACACTGATAAAGTTAAATATACACTTAAGAAAATAATACTTGTATGAACAAAGGAATGGAAAAAACTACAAATTATCATAAAAAGGAAGAAGGAATCAGACACTACAATAAAGTGAGACATTATTGTTTAGTGTCATCCTCTTCCAGACATAGCTCATGGGTAATGAGGCATATGCCTTAGCACATTTGTATCTACACTTAAAGCTTTGCCTAAGTGAGACAAATTACCAACCTGTTTTGCACCTAACTTCAGGGCTTAAAGGCGCAGGCGAGCCTTCAACGTCATGGTGGATACTTTGTCTCACATAGCTTAAGGTGACCCAAGCAAGCCTTGAACTAGAACTAGTGCTATGCCCATTTTTCATGTTCAAGTAGTTCAATTTCTGGTTGTGCATGGTTATTGTCGTACTTCATCTTATTCTGATCTTTTAGAGGGTCGTACGATTATTGTAGTAACTGATCACACGCGCACATATGAAATATGACAAGATATTCTGGTATCATGTACATTCCATGAAGACCGTTGAAGAACCATTCCATGTCTTAGATGTCATCTTACCTTGTTGAGCGGAACCTGTACATCAGCCAGTGTGCTTGCTCAAGTAGCTCAATGACCCATAATGCAGCGTTATATTCATATTTTATCTTATTCTGATCTTTTATGGGGCAATATCATTGTCATTAAATTGAGTCTTATATTTCGGTTTACACATACTGTGTCAGTTGACAACGATTCATCGTGGCTTGTGTGGATGACGTTCTTCCGGAGTGATATTAGGGACAACTTGAATTACTGTAATGAAGTAATTTATTGAGCTTTTCTTTTTTTAATATAGGTCTCTAGGCACTAGGCCCATGAGATAAAATTTCTTTTGAGGACCTGTTTAAACCTTTTCTCATCCACCTAAAGTACCTCCGAAGTTTTGTTGGATATCTGAGATACTCTCTCTCTCTCTGGAGGTGGCGGTAAATCAGTTATGTAGAAATAAGAAATGCATTTCGTAATAAATAGAGTTTAAATTTTCTGATGTGAATTATTCTAGCAGTCGTTTCTATTAACATCTTGAATACTTTGGTGTGCCAGATTTTTCTGATATATAGATGCTTAGAATGATTTTACTATGATGTTTTTGGTCAGCTAACTTAAAAAGTATCTTCATAACAAAATGGATTCAAGTCATTACATAGAACCTTATTTACTTGATTTTTTTTGCTGCTTAATGCTATGTGCCATTCGTTTGCCAGTGATGGTGTTTGATCTGCAAATGCGTACTTGGTCGACCTTGAAGACATATGGAAAGACACCGGTATATTTGTTTATCCCATAGTGCTGTTTTACCTTTTTAGTGGCTTCAAATATTCTTGGCGTCCCTGCTTCTGATTTGATGATTTCTGGGGTTGGATGTTTCCTGACTTAAATGTTGTTTTCTTCCTTTTTCTTTCATTTTTAAGGATCAAAAAGTTTTCAGCATTACTGAACACCCTGTAATATCAGTCTTTTGTTCTTTGTTTCCTTCTTTTTTTCCTATTGGGCGAAACTTAAAATTAACATGTGAGTGGTTCCTTTCTATCTATCTGTTTCGTGTCTTATAGCCTGTTTGGCAAGCTTCTCCAAGGCCAAAAGGTGCTTTTTTTCCAAAGTTGAGGTGTTTGTCCAAGCTTCTAGGAAGAAAAAAAGTGCTTTTGAGTAGAAGCAGAAGTAGTTTTTGAGAAGCAGAAAAAAATAGCTTCTCCCCAAAAGCACTTTTTTGAAAAGCACTTTTGAGATAAATACACTTACACTTGAGCCCGTTTGGATTAGCTGATTTGAAGTAGCCGATAAACATTAGGTGCTGAAAAGCACTTTTAAGTGCTGAAACTGATTTAATAAATAAGCAGTTACGTGTTTGGATACAAGTGCTGAAATTGATAATAAGCTGCTGTAGTGTTTGATAAAAAAGTGCTGATAAGCTCTTTTTCTGTTAAAATGACTTAAATAACCTTAGAACTGTTTACACTTATAAGGGTGTAATTTCTTCAAAATTTTAGATTCGAGATCGATTCAAATACAAAATATTCTATTTGTCATTTTATTTTAAATATAACTGTGATTAGATAAGATAATTTTTATGATAAGCATATAATCATAAGTTTTATAAGAATAATTAATAAATTGACAAAAAAATTTCAGTAAACAAATAAACCTAAATAGGACAAAATATTTGAAGAGAAAAAACAAACACTTAATGCGTACTATTTGTGCCAAATTAAACTAAAACATTCAATTATCGTAAATATCTTGGGCAATTAGATCACGAATTGCCGTCCAAAAAATTATTATCTCCTTCATTTTCCACATTTTCTATATTTGCAACATTGATGCGTGCAGATCTTTCAACATCAGGATCAACAAGTGGCACATATCTCTCATTCTCAGCTTCTTGGAATGCATTGTCCACTTTACATTTCTTTCTAATGTAATTTTGAATTGCCATTGTAGCCAGTACAATATCTCTTTGAGTGTCAATATGATAGAAAGGCATATCTCTCAAAATAGACCACCTTGCTTTCCATACCCCAAATGTTCGCTCTACAATGTTTCTACAAGAAGAATGCAAATAATTGAACATTTCTTTATGTCCATTTGGGGATCGCAATTGCCGTGTCGCACCTCGACGAAATTCTGCGAGGTGGTATCTCACATTATCTCTTTTGTTTGGTGCCATATATCCCTTCATATGTGAATATCCTGCGTTAACAAGATAATATTTGTCCCCAGATGGATATGAAAAGTTTAGTTCGGGTCTACGAAGAGCCTCACCAAATATACGATTATCATGAGCCGCTCCTTCCCACCCAGCCCATGCAAATGTAAAACACATATTAAAGTCGACAACAATAAGAATATTTTGAGTAGGGTAACCTTTGCGCCCGATATATGGTATCTCTTGACCTTGAGGTAATCTTGCTTTTACATGCGTGCCATCAAGTGCTCCGATACAATCCTAAAAATATATACATGGATAAATTAAATGTAATTTACAGCAAAAAGTTTTTGAGTTATAATGTAAAAACACAATAATATAATTATTAAAAAATGGTAACTTACTTTAAAGAAAGGGAGATATCGTTGGTTACATGGCTTGTGATCTCCTGCACCATTATTATAATTTGGATGTGGTTGAATTATATCTCTTGCAAGCTTACCAATGGCCTTTAAAACACTATGAAAATGCCTATGAATTGTTTCTCCTGAGTGCTGAAAAATCTCTTGTACCAACCGATTCCCGGCACCATGTGCACAAATCATCAAGAACATCCCTAACTCCTCATACACAGACATCCCACGTGTGGGTTTAAGACCATATTTATCAGTTAGATCTTTGCTTAAATCAAGAAACACTGACTCAGTCGAAAATTTTCATAACAACGAGTCTCATTTCCATGTAATATCTCGTGGATAAATATATTCCTAGTGCGTTTAGATGTACGACTACGGCATGGTTCCTTGCAAATATATTTCTCATAATATATCAATATACTCTTACATGCGATTTGACATAGTGCCATCCATTCCTTACCTTCTTGACTTTCCTCTTCTTTCATTTTCGTCATTTAACAAGTCACTTGGATGACTAAATATCAACTTGTCAATATTCCAGCAGGCCATTAAACTGAAAATAAAATAGATACACATACTGTTATGAATTAAAAATAACAAATGCTAACTTTAAAGTAGAGAGTCATCAATTATAATAAAAAAATGTACTGTTATGAATTAAAAATGACAAATGCTAACTCTAAAGTAGATAGTCATCAATTAAAATAAAGACATATAATGTCTAAACAAAAAACAATCATACCACCATTATGTCTGAACATGACACAAAATATAAAAAAATTATAAACTTCCATGCATATAGTTTAAAGAGCAGGTTAAATAATATCTAATGCTAGTGTAATATGGCTAAGTCATCACAATAACTTCTCATACTGTATTATATGGATTGTTCGGCACGAATGATCGTCTGTGGTTATACTCCAACCAAGATTTCCTAGCTTCATCAGTAGACAATTTGATAAATGCATGTCGCATCTCTTTCTGTGTCAACAAGTTCACAGCACAGTTAAAAATATCACTCCCTGCAAGAATACCAGGAATATTTTCTAAAATATCCATGCACTTCTCAATGGTTGGTTCTGATGCTGCACGAGATGTGCTTTTGTTAGATATAAACTCAATTAAGGAGTGTATCTCCTCTTTTAGCGATATATGAATTATTTTTTGTCTTGCGCTTTTTCATTTGACTACTACTGTCACTGCCATCTATTGACTTTCGCTTTCTAAGTGATGGATCAGGAAATGTAATTGAATCTATATTCCGCAAGTCGTAACTTCCATCACTTCTTTCATGATTATATTGTTCTACGTCATTATCATAAACATCATTTGTTCCATCATCATCTTGTTCTAACCTAACTTCAGACTCTTGTTCTTGATTCGCTGCACGTGCTCTCTCTCCAGTGGCAATAATATCAGTAAATAGAGCATCATAACGAAACCATATCAGAGAGAGGTCTTTGTTTCTAAATTTTTTGTATTTAGAATTCTCCTATAAAAAAATTTAAAATTGCTTTAAGTAAACAAAGGATATTAAGAATTAAAAGAGTTATGAAATAATTATAGAAAAACACAAGCAATGTACCTTTATTGTTTGCTCCCACCAATCATCATCTGCAATAATTGTTTTTCTTGTGGGATCCCATCCTAAACCTGTCTCACCTCTCATCAACTCTTTAAAATGAGTCCACTCGGATTTCATGTGATCCCAATGGTTTTTCATTTGTTTTCTAGTATATTGTAAACCCGCCTTCTTATTAAACTCATTTACCATATTCTTCCATCCATCTTTCGACAAGTAAGTATTTGGCCTATTTCCTTTTCTAACTTCTTGCTCACATAATTCAATGAATTTAATGTGTGCATATTCATCCCACTTAGCATTATTTCGTCCCAAAGTATTATCCACCATAATTGAATGTAAACAATCTGAAGAGAATACAACATTTAGTTTATCCGAATTGAAAATTAGATGACAAATACCAATAGAAAGATCACTACAACACAAATTCAAAAAGATGCAAATATGACAGCAAAAAGGAACGAAATACAGATATGCATGAGAGGTATGAGAATTAGCAAAAAGATAACCTTACTAGAAAGTAACAGTCTTTTTTTTTTTGGACTTTTCTTTTTCGGAACCTTATCTTGAATTTTTTGCATGACAAGGAGCTCTCTATATGACATGTCTGATGTAAATTCTGTTTATATGACAAGTTCCTCCTCATAGTCATATCTCAGAAGATTAAGATTATTGATAGAAAATTTGTTATATTTCTGGAGTGATTCCTCAGGAGACCGTTAAAGCCTCAATTAAGCTTAGCAATATCTATACGATCTAGCTAGCTAGATTTTGCTTTGACCACTGTTCTCATAAAACGATCTAATTCAGAAAGTGAATCAGAGAGTCCAATTTCTATATATTCCCACTAGTCATGTTCATTCACTTGTAATTTCAAAGATTTCTTCACTTCCTTTTCCATATGAGTTGCCAGCTAAGCGTGGCTACTTTTTGCAACTTTATATAACTAAATAAACTATAGAATGGCACAGTTTTCCAACTTTTGATTTATCTGTAATAGGACACTGACCTACTTGAATACATAATCACCAAGGAAACGTCATTGGAGCATCAAGTCTCTTTACTTTCAATTCCAATTAACCCGTATAAATAAAACTATGAACAAGAGATATATTAGAAGTATAGAACATAGTTTGAACTGAAAAGATGTTTAAATATGTAGGCTAGGGTTCCTATAATCTTGCAATAAGATTTGTAATTCAAAATATAGTAAAATAAGATTTGATGTAGGGATACATGAGTTTTGTTTTAAAAAGGAATATTTTAGGGATAAAATAGTAAAAATCTTGGTGAAACTTAAAGTGCTTATAAGCTAAAAAATCATAAGTTGGGGGTGACCAATTTATGGCTTTTGGCTTATTTTTGGCTTATAAGCACTTGGCTTATAAGCACTTTTAACTTTGCCAAACGCATAGATAAGCTGAAAAGTGCTTATAAGCTGGTTTGACCAGCTTATAAGCTTAGCCAAACACCCTCTTAGAAGCAATTTTCAAAAGCTTGGCCAAACACTAATTGCTGTTCAAAAGTACTTTTCAAATTGATTAGCCAAACATAAACTGCTTTTCACCAAAAGTTCTTTTCTGAAAAGCACTTTTAGGAAAAAAATACTTTTCAAAATAAGCTGATTTTAGAAGCTTGGCCAAATAGGCTATTAGTCTAGACGAACGAAACAAACTAATTATTCTTGTTTGATGAGTTGATTAGCTTCTGCGTTTGCTTTTACAGGTTTCCCGTGGAGGTCATTCAGTAACGCTTGTAGGAACAAGCTTAGTAATATTTGGTGGACAAGATGCAGGTCGATCTCTCTTGAATGATCTACACATTCTAAACTTAGAAACCATGGCCTGGGATGAAGTGGACACGCTGTAAGATGCTTCCAGGAAGTCTTTAAGCACGTTATTTTCCCTTCAGATTTTCTTGCTTGTCTTTTTGAAGGACATAGAAGTCAGTTACCATCTCTGTCTACTATAGTAGTTTTCAGTTTTGGCAAAAGAAATCCTCATCTAGTTAGCTTGCATGTCTTATTGCCTGTATACATTTTCAAAAATTTACTGATGCTAATAGTGTGAAAGTTTACAAAGATTTTGCCCATGTATCTTTTATCTTTCGTTAAAAAACCGTGATCATTTGCAATATACCTGTACTGGTGCTTATGCTTAAGCAGTCTTACTCTTATAAGTTGGTAGTATCCACTTTCCTTGACCTTATTATTTTCTTAGGGGAATTCCTCCTTCTCCAAGGTCAGATCATGCTGCCACGATACATGCAGAGCGCTACCTTCTAGTTTTTGGTGGGGGCTCGCACACTGCTTGCTTCAATGATCTGCATGTTCTTGATCTGCAAACTGTGAGATAATATTTTCGGTTCCAAAAGATAGAGAGCTGCTCAAATTAGAATATTATTTGTTATTGGTAACTCTTATTTAATTTAACTTTTACAGATGGAGTGGTCAAGGCCTACTCAACAGGGTGAAATACCAAGTCCACGTGCCGGCCATGCTGGTGTAACTGTTGGAGAGAATTGGTTTATTGTTGGGGGAGGCAACAACAAGAGCGGTATGCTTTGTTCTTTAAGAATAGCCACGGCGTTCATAATAGTTCCAACCGTTGTTTATGCTAGGATTTTTAATGCCTTTTTCCTTCGTCGAGGGTTCTTGGCAGAATCTACAATTTTAAATATATAAAATTTGAATAAGATATGATGACGATCTTGTTGTCTGAGCTGGAAGAATTTCTAGTTCATAACAGATCATGTGAGTAAAATGGTACTCCTTCTGTCCCAATTTATGTAGCGGTGTTTGACTGGGACGGAGTTTAAGAAAAAAGAAGACTTTTAAAACTTGTGGTCTTAAAACAAGTTATAGACATTTGTGTGGCTATAAATCATTTCATTAAGGGTAAAATGATAAATTAAAGTTAAATTACTTTTAAATAAGTATGACATTCTTTCTGGGACAGACTAAAATAGAAAGTATGGCACTTAAATTAGGACAGAGGAAGTAGCTTTCAATTATTCCCTCTATTCCATTTGATCTGATACTCTTTCCTATTGATTGGTTCCGAAAAGAATGCTACATTTTTGTACGTGGAAACTCTTTTAACTTTTAACTTCTATTTTTACCCTTAATGACATGCTCTTAAAGTCATTAGCAATGTCATGACATGTTTAAGACCACAAGTTGTTGTCAAAAGTATTTATTTCTTACTTAAACTTCGTGCAATACTGTCATATAAAATGAAGCAGAGGGATTAGTTAAAATTCTTTTGGCTAGATGGATTATTTTTAATCATCTTGTTACTTCCTAGAATCTTGGAGTCAATGTTTTTGGTGCATGAGAAGTGTCCCTATGTGCCCCTGAATTGTTGGGAAAGGCCTTTCGGTAGTTCGAATGGTTGGTTAACTTTTCATTGTAAAATAGTGTTTATTTATCTCTCAACTTGTTATCCACATCTTTCCCCAAAAATTGAAAGGTTGAAAGTGGTTATGTTAATGTACAACCTCTTTTGATAAGGTAGTTCTCAAGTTAGAAAATATCTTGTAGAAGATGTGTTAGAGATCTACAACATTTTACATATTGGTTGTGCAAGGGTCTTTCTAAAGGGTTTATGATGATACATTGCTGTGTTGTAAGCTCGTGTTCTTTCACATTTTGAATTGTGTGAATTGCCTCAATTGTTGATGGGTTTAATGAGACTTGACCCAGGAGCTCCGATAAGGTATTCAATGGTGTGAACCACTTCACCAAAAAAAGCAGGTTGTGCTTAGCATGATTCTTTTCTGTGATGAATCATCTGAATAGCCGGTCCAGATGAATGAGTGAAAGTACAGAAGAAATATCAGGTCAACTGTTTCTAATCTAGTACACAACTAGAGCATTGTAATACTATGAGGGGTCGTTTGGTAGGATGTATTAGGGAATATAATACATGTATTAGCTTTGGTATTATTAATCCCTTATTTGGTAGTGATTCTAACCTATGTATAACTAATACTTGTATTAGTTATACACCCTATACAGTACTATTCTTATACATAGCAATCCATTGCATTAGCAATACCATGGTTTTCAGTACATGAATAAGCATGTATAAAGACATAACTGCCTTTTCAAATTTCACATACAAAGCTAAGATGTGGAGGGTATTTTTGTATACAAACAATTTCTTTTAAAAAATTATGCAATGTATGTTAATACACCAAACCAAACAGTCGATAAGAAATAATCCCAGCATAACTAATAGCATAACTAATTCTAGCATTAATAATCATAATATTACTAATACACCTTATTCAGTACTATTCATATATGCCCTACCAAATTACCCCTGAGAGTTAACAAGTTCAGGGGACTTGTGGGTTTCTCTTGGTTTATGCATAAGCAGGTTGTGCTTGGCATGATTGGTTTTCTGTGAAGAATTATCTGAATAGCCGGTGCAAAAAAGTACAATAGAAATCTGAGGTCACTCTGTTTCTAATCTGGGGNGGGGGGGGGGGGGGGGAGCGCACTGCAGATTCTAAATTTTCTAGAAAGTGAAAGCAGTAATCCGGACAACAACAACGACCCAGTGAAATCCCACTAGTGGGGTCTGGGGAGGGTAGTGTGTACGCATACCTTACCCCTACCCCGAGGGAGTACAGAGACTGTTTCCGAAAGACTCTCGGCTCAAGAAGACGAAAAGAGACAATATCAGTATCACCAATAGAAACCATAGGAAAAATAACTTCATGTAAATGAGAAAGTAGATGCAAAGCAAACGTGATAGAGAGTACATAGACGCGACACTATGGAAAACAAAAGAGTAGTAAGACGCAACATTGCCACTAGCTGACATCGGCAAAAACCCTACCATACTAGCCTCACAAAGGTACGAAGTAAGGTAGACTCAACTACCTCCTAACCTACAATCCTAATACTCGACTTCCACACCTTCCTATCAAGAGTCATTTCCTCGGAAATCTGAAGCCTCGCCATGTACTGCCTGATCACCTCTCCCCAATACTTCTTAGGTCGTCCTCTACCTCTTCTCGTGCCCTCCAAGGACAGCCGCTCACACCTCCTTACAGGAGCATCTGGGCTTCTCCTTTATACGTGTCCGAACCATCTGAGCCTCGCTTCCCGCATCTTGTCATCAATGGGAGCCACACCCACCTTCTCCCGAATATCTTCATTCCTGATCTTATCCATCCTAGTGTGTCCGCACATCCACCTCAACATCCTCATTTCTGTTACTTTCATCATTTGGATATGTGAATTCTTAACAGGCCAACACTCAACTCCATACATCATGGCCGGTCTAACCACCGCTTTGTAAAACTTACCTTTGAGTATCGGTGGCACTCTCTTATCACACAAGACTCCAGATGCTAACCTCCACTTCATCCACCCTACCCCAATACGGTGTGTGACATCCTCGTCGATCTCCCCTCCCCCATGAATAACCGACCCAAGGTATTTGAAATTGCCACTACTTGGTATGACCTGTGATTCAAGCCTCACTTCCACGCCCACTTCCCTCGGCTCAATGCTGAACTTACATTCCATGCATTCCGTCTTCGTCCTGCTCAGCTTGAAACCCTTAGACTGAAGGGCCTGTCTCCACACCTCCAACCTCTCGTTAACACTGGTTCGCGACTCATCAATCAGAACTATGATCCGGAGTTGGACAAAAAATTATGATATTTGTGGATCACTTATATTTGCTTCAATATGATTTTAGTTGTGGACCATTGCCATCATTCTTGTGTTAATGCTTTTTTTATTTATTTTTTATTGTTTCAGTTCTCCCTTACAACTTTATGCTGTTCTTATTATCTTACAATTGTTGCAGGGGTCTCTGAAACTGTTGTGCTCAACATGTCTACTTTGGCTTGGTCAGTTGTAACAACTGTTCAAGGACATGTTGCTCTTGCCACTGAGGTATTCCTGTTCCTGGCGGTGTCTTCTTTTTTCAAGCAACCTACCTGTTTTCTTTTCCTTTTTTTTCCCTTTTAAGTATCTGGATTGGATACAAAGCTTTTGCTTGTTCTGTTTTCCAACTAGAAGATAATTTTTAGTTGGATGGCTCAAATTTGAGTTGTCTGAACTAATGCCACATGTTGCTTCTGTTGTTTCCATATTACCATTATTCTGGCCGTCCAATGTGGTCCTACGATTGAATTCTTGAGGTGTGCTCGACACTCTACAGAATCTGTGATATGTCATCAATGTGACATAATACAGCAGACGAAAATGAAGAAGAGCATCCATCAGTATCCTTGAGCTATTCAAGTTCTGATCACGCTCATCCCTGATTAAACTTCTACGGAAATAAGCTTGACAAAATCTAGATTGTCCGTGCTGTCGCAATATCTTTAGTTACCACTAAATTGCGATGCAGACAGATATGAATATGTTACCATCTCAGGTTACGCCTAAGTTAGAAATGATTTGAATTTTGATACTGCAATTGTTTTGGTTGTCAAAAGTTTTAACTTATTGTTCCTCATTTAACAAGTAAACAACAATGAAATGATGTTGAAGAATTTGGGAACTCTTCCTTCTCTACTATGCCAAGACTATTGTATTGTTCCTTATTGCCCGGGCCACTCTGGGACCTAAATGTGTTTGATGAACTTGCGTTTGCATGAAATTATTTTTCAAATAGATAATAGTACGTTGGGTTCTTAACTATTCTTAGAGATTGATATTTTGCGTTTTTCTTTCTCCGAATGTCAAATTATGCTTAAGAGATTGATATTTTGTCTTTTTCTCTAAATATCCAAGTGTTTTAGCTTGTAACTTAAGAAAATTTCTTGTCCTACAGGGCTTGTGCTTGGTCTTATGTTCATATAATGGTGAAGATATCGTAGTTTCATTTGGAGGATACAATGGGCGATACAATAATGAGGTAATTCCAGCACAGCTAAATCATATTTATTCTCTTTGCGAGTTTGGTCAGCCCTTCCACTGGGGCTAGTGAATTGTTGGTTGGTTTCTTTATCCTTGCTATGCTTCTCCTAATTAAATTTCTCTATGGTGTCTTTCATCATTGTTTTAAGGTCAGCGTACTAAAACCAAGCCACAAGTCAACCTTGCAATCAAAAGTGATTGAGACTCCTGCAGATAGTGTTTCAGCAGTGCACAATGCGACTAATGCCACTAATGCCACAAGAGATATGGAATCAGAGTATGGAATGGGCCAAGAAGGCAAAATAAGGGAAATTGTGATGGACAACATTGAGTCCGAGCCAACGGTATTCTGATGCTTTAAAATTCATTATCTTGTATTTATGACTGGTTATATGATGTGAATTTTGCTTGCTTTTCTTGTGCACTGAGATCTCAGTTTAATTGTGCTATCAACTTCCTTTAAGATAACTAGAATGTTAATCTATCTACACTGGAAAAAAATAGGTTCATCTATAAAGCTGCATTTGAAGTTCACATTTTGTTCTCTTCTCTGTAAGAATATGCCTCAACCAACTAGGTATGTCTTGTTTCTACAATTCCTTGTATATTTCGAGTAGTTGATAATAGACTAAGAAAGAGATAAAAAAGCTCGTGAGAATAAAAATGTAGTTCAAACAAGACAACAAAGGCTCTTTGAATTCATTGAAATTGATGATTGCTTGTTACGAAACACCACCTATGTATAGGTTCAGCATATCTTGTATAAAAACTAAAACTGGTGAAAGCAATAAATGATTGTGTGCTACATATGTATTATTATGGCTCCTCCTTAACTATTGTGAGGTGCATTTATTGGGTGGATTGAATCCACAGCATTAATTGCACATGGGTGAGTTTGATTTCTTAATTCCTTGTTCATATATCTTTATATCTAACAAGAGTATTCATGGATGTTCATACTGGCAGAGTCATTTAAGTGCAGATGTCATCCAATGAAAAGAATTTAGTCTTTTTTATATAATCAACTCTAATTTATTGTCCTTGAAAGATTACACATAGTCAATTTTAACCACTTTAAACTGATTAGAATGCTACGAGTTTAACTTTAGCGCACACATTTCACATGGCACATACATGGCATAGAAACAAAGATGAGTTCCTGAGACTGCCACACGAAACAAGCATCAAACTTAGTGAATGTAATTATACCTGTGTAGGTATATGTGTTAATATCGCCTAAGCAAATTAAAACCAAATAACAAACATGCTTGAAGGTTTTGCATGCCATATACTATATTCAATTAGCAATTACATTTGCGGGCCATATTAGTGCTTTTGTAAAGTATGTCTGGTCCTCCTATTGTAGTTTTTCCTATTTTCTCACTTTTTGTTGATGTTAAAAATTTCAAATATCTTCTCTTGCATCCCAAAAAGGAAAACAAATGTTAGGATCCAGTAGTTTGAAATATGTCTCTTTCCAGACGTGTGTAACTCACTATCCAAGCCTTGGTGGACATAGTTAACTGGTACCTGTTGGAGGTGGGAGATAGCAGGTGTCCTGTGTAATTAGTCGAGGTGNCCCAGTTATAGATTTGAAGTGAAACAGAGGATTTATGATTTAAGAATATGCCATTTTCTTGTTGGCCTTCCTTCAATCTTCCAACTTGTCCTAGCTTTCCAGAAATGATTAACGGTACTTCCCTCTTCTTTTCTCTCTAGCGCTTCAATCACACTAGGTCTTATACCATCAGAAGCAGTTCTAAAATTCAAATTTGGCTAAATGTCTGCTTATAGACCTAAATGTATAAAATTTTAGTTGAGTGGAGCAATTGGTTTCTGATATCTCAAATAGCAGGTCACTGTCACTAAATGTATATACTACTTGAGTAACATAAAATGTAGATGTGTGGTGTTAACTGGGATATTTGTAAGAATGCAAGATTTGCTGTTCATTAAATGTAAAAGCCAAAATGCCAGTGCAAAACTTTTATCGCTGTTGTCTCCGCAAGCTTAGCCTGCTTTCGTATTGCTTTATGCTGTTGAAGGGTTCAATAATTTGCCGTTACTTGAACATGATTAAACTGACAAACCACTACATTGTCATATTTCTATGCAGTATCATGAGTCATGACGTGTTCTCTTTCACCGTACTTCTGTTATCCTTCTGTTTGTCTTTTTCCTTGTTGTTCCCTTGGGCCTCATGGTTTCATCATGCAGGTGAATAAAGTTGAAGAAACTAGTGAATGTCTTTTAGCAGCTCTCAAAGCTGTGAAGGAAGAAGTAGAGTCATCTCTCAGCAAAGAGAAGTTGCAGACTCTCCAGCTGAAGCAAGACTTGATATATGCCGAGACTCACAACAGTGACCTTTACAAGGTAACTCTCAAATTGATAGGTATACCAAAAGTGAAAGCAAAGTGCATGCTATTTTTTATTTTCCCCCCATTTTTGCTTCTTTTTAAAATTGAGTTGAACTGTAGCCTATGTTCTGTGTTTCATTGTTTTGTTTAAACTACTGGTCTGTTTTATCTTCCATCTCCGGTAAATAGCTAAAATGCTTTTGGTATCTTTCGGATTTGATAATGCTTTGTCGTTAAGTGGCCACTTTGTCATTTGTTGCTCCCTTTGGATACTGTTAATGTTATTATTCTCTTCAAACAGATTTTATTGTTTGGATACTTTGATGTTCAAATGCTCTCTGCAGGGCATACTATCATATTCCATATGGGGTCTTTCCTATTCTTTACTGCATTCATTTATCTACATAAACTAATTTTCAATTTTATTCTGAAACAAGATCTGAGCTAATTTTCCAGCATTTTTGGTCTTGGTGCTCATGCTCACCTAAGTGCAAGTTTAGATAACGTGAAAATATGTAGTAAGAGAAAAAGAAATATCTTTTGGAATTTTGCACCTATGTATTTGAGATCTTTAAGTAATTTCCAAAAGATAAGGCTGTCACCAGGCAAGATCCAGGTCTCTGACAGCTGTGCTTCACATCTAACTTTGTATTTCTCTATTGCATATGCAGGAACTCCAATCTGTACGAGGTCAACTTGCTGCTGAACAGTCGAGGTGTTTCAAACTTGAGGTATGAGACTATTTTTTGTTTCTTTTTTCCCTTTTCTTTCCTTTGAAAACCATTTTCTGGTTGGAGGAGTTGGTGGAAAGGGGAAATGCTTTGAACCTGCAACCAATTAGGATTTAGGATGGTTCCTGCCACTTGTGGTTATCATTTTGACTTTAATGATTCACATGCTTTTATTGGTAACATCTTGTTGGTTTAATTTCAGTTCTAGACTTCACCCCGTCCCTCATTTCTATTTAAACCCAGCTTCTTTTTTTGATTAAACATGTATGTGTTTTCACAACAAAAAAAAAAGGGATTAATCATGTATGTGTTAGTTATTTTTTTGGACTGGTTCCCAGCCCATCAAATAGCAGCAGATTTTATCAGAATGACCAAGTATTTTGGTTTATGTTGTCATTATGTCCGTCAGCTTATTTGCACATTTAGTTTCTGTTTGTGGTTCATTATTTGCATGACATGTTGGCAACAATGAGTGACGATGAGAGACTCTCTACAATATATTGGACAGATCAGGAGCTGAGACACGGCAGAAGTTGCGGGTTCCAATATACCCTTCTTACTTATCTCTGCCCACATGCACTTGCAAACATACACATACAAAGATCTTTTAAAAGTTGAACTCAGAGACTACTCGCTATTATCAAACTATAGCTACAATGCACTGAGAAGAGCAAAGTTTTCAAGACAAAGGCCTGATTTATCTTAATTTGCTGAAGTGGAAGAAGGTAGTACGTTATAACCTCATTTGACAGGTTGATGTTGCGGAGCTAAGACAAAAGCTACAAAGAATGGAAACATTACAAAAAGAAGTTGAGCTCCTGAGACGACAGAAGGCTGCTTCTGAGCAAGCCTTGAGCGCAAAACAAAGGCAGAGGTCTGGTGGAGTGTGGGGATGGCTTGCTCCTCCTCCTCCTAGTCAACGAGATGATGCATGATAGAAAACTTCGATGCACAACTCACACTGATGTTTATCGGTTATTCTTTTAATCAAATTGTTATTATAAGCTGTTCTTTCACAGATAGAATAAGATAGAGTCAGAATACTTTTAGGTGGAGAGGGATATAGTTGTGTGTGATGGCTGGTGGGATTTTTGTTGTATAATTACCAAGAACAGTTAGTGCCGGTTAATTTTCTACTGAGAGTTTCGACAGAACCTCCACTTCCAGAAGATAGAAGTTTTGGATGCGAAAGTATAGGAAGTTTTTTTACTGCTGGTTCGAATACCGTTTGACTGTAATGCCTAACCTCTTTAATGTAATTGACATTGTGTTGTGACCATATTTATACATTATACAAGCCGAGTCAAGGCAGAATAGGATACACGTAAACTTTCTCTTTGGATATTTTCTTATTTTAATGTTATAATATTATGAGCGCTCAAGCGTTAATAATTAAATATTACAATTTACGAAGTAAGAGAATTATGTTAAGAAACTTAGCTCAAAGTAATACTATAAAATAAGAAAATAGATAAAGGATGTACAAAGGAAAGAGATAACGTTCTTATTTCATTAAGTGTTTTCAAGTGTATAGTACATGATTCCCAATACCTCTATTTATAGGGTTACGTAGAGGCTTACAATAAGGCTACTTTAAACATGGTATTAAACATTTCAGATTATGGAAGATCATAGGAAGGTTATGGAGGTGTGAGAGTTACAACTACAATGGTGAGAAGTAATAGGGGTTATCTACATAATGGAGAAGAGTAGTGGGAGTTATATTTGATTAGTTGACATCCATATAAATATGTATTTCATAACACTCCCCATTGAATGTCCACAAATAATGTTCCTCGTTAAAACATTACCAAAAACAAATTCAGTGGGAAAAAAAATCTCAGTGAAGGAAAAATAGTATACATATCTTGTAATACACATTTCTTGCTGCCTCATTAAAAACATTGCCAGCAAAACCCAGTGGCATAAAACCTTAGCTAAGGAAAAAAGAGTATAATGTGTATTTGCGCCCCCCTCCCCCCCCCCCC